ATAGACTAAACTATAGACAAGACTATAGACTAGACTTAGACTAGACTATAGACTAGAATATAGACTAGACTATAGACTAGACTATAGACTAGACTATAGAATAGACTATAGACTAGACTATAGACTAGATTATAGACTAGACTATATACTAGACTATAGACTAGACTATAGACTAGACTATATAATAGACTATAGACTAGACTATATACTAGAATATCGACTATACTATAGACTAGACTATAGACTAGACTAGACTATATACAAGACTATATACTAGACTATAGACTAGACTATAGACTAGACTATATACTAGACTATAGACTAGACTATAGACTAGACTATAGACTATACTATAGACTATACTATAGACTAGATTATAGGCTAGACTATATGCTAGACTATATACTAGACTATATACTAGACTATATACTAGACTATAGACTAGACTATAAACTAGACTATATCCTAGTCTATAGTCTAGACAATATACTAGACTATAGACTAGACTAGACTATAGACTGGACTATAGACTAGACTATAGACTAGACTATAGAATAGACTATAGACTAGACTATAGACTAGACTATAGACTAGAGTATAGACTAGAGTATAGACTAGACTATAGACTAGACTATAGACTAGACTATAGACTAGACTATAGACTAGACTATAGACTAGACTATAGACTAGACTATAGACTAGACTATAGACTAGACTATAGACTAGACTATAGACTAGACTATAGACTATAGACTAGACTATAGACTAGACTATAGACTAGACTAGACTAGACTATAGACTAGACTATAGACTAGACTATAGACTAGACTATAGACTAGATTATAGACTAGATTATAGACTAGATTATAGACTAGACTATAGACTAGCCTATAGACTAGACTATAGACTAGACTATATACTAGACTATATACTAGACTATAGGCTAGACTATAGACTAGACTATAGACTAGACTATAGACTAGACTATAGACTAGACTATATAATAGACTATAGACTAAACTATAGACTAGACTTTAGACTAGACTATAGACTAGACTATAGACTATATTATAGACTATACTGTAGACTATACTATAGACTTGATTATAGACTAGACTATATACTAGACTATATACTAGACTATAGACTAGACCATAGACTAGAATATATACTAGACTATAGACTAGACTATATACTAGACTATAGACTAGACTATATACTAGACTATATACTAGACAATATACTAGACAATATACTAGACTATAGACTAGACTGTAGACTAGACTATAGACTAGACTATAGACTAGACTATAGACTAGACTATAGACTAGACTATAGACTAAACTATAGACTAAACTATAGACTAGACTATAGACTAGACTATAGACTAGACTATAGACTAGACTGTAGACTAGACTATAGACTAGACTATAGACTAGACTATAGACTAGACTATAGACTAGACTATAGACTAGACTATAGACTAGACTATATACTAGACTATAGACTAGCCTATAGACTAGACTAGACTATAGACTAGACTATAGACTATACCATAGACTAGACTATAGACTATTCTATATACTAGACTATAGACTAGACTATAGACTAGACTATGGACTAGGCTATAGACTAGACTATGGACTAGACTATAGACTACACTATAGACTAGACTAGACTATAGACTATACTATAGACTAGACTATAGACTAGACTATAGACTACACTATAGACTAGACTATAGACTACACTATAGACTAGACTTTAGACTAGACTATAGACTAGACTATAGACTAGGTTATAGACTAGACATATATAAACTCGACTTTATCTCGTCTATAACACTTCCTTTCTTCAAGTAGTTGGCAACCCTGCCAACTCTTTTCTAGATGCCTTTAGCAACTGAATAGCATGAGATTATGTTGCCTAGATAAATAATTTTGTGTGGTACTATGAGGTTCTTTTCTTTCTTTACATTATTTTTGCTAAAATTTTTTTCGTTCTTACTTATTGTTGTAACAAGTCTTAAATAATCACGCAAAACAACAATACAAAGTCTAATGTTTTTTTCTATACAACTAAAAAATAAAAAATTTCTTATTTAGTGATAAAAATATAAATATATGTAAATAATTGTGATATAAAATAAAATTATTTAAAAAATTAAACAACAAAAGTTCATTTCTGGTTTGTGCAGATTTTGAAAAAAAAAAATATAAAAAAATATAAAAAAAATATAAAAAAAAAATAATTTTAAAAGGAGAATAATATTTGTTTTATTAAAGGAGTTATTTGAAGTATTTATCTATTAAATTTTTCTTTATAATATAAGTGAGATATTTATTTATATAGGGATTACTTTTTAGTTTATCTATAAATAATATATTTTTTTAAAAAGACTAACATACCATAGAGTACATTATAGACCAGACTAGTTTGTAGTCTAAACTATAGACTAGACTATAGACTAGACTATGGACTAGACTATTGACTAGACTATTGACTGGAGTATAGACTAAACTTTAGACTTGACTATAAACTAGACTGTAGACTATGCTATAGACTAGACTACACTATAGACTAGACTGTAGACTGGATATAGACTAGACTATAGACTAGGCTGTAGACTAGACTATAGACTAGACTATAGACTAGACTATAGACCAGACTATAGACTAGACTATAGACTAGACTATAGACTAGACTATAGACTAGACTATAGACTAGACTATAGACTAGACTATAGACTGGACTATAGAGACTAGACTATAGACTAGACTATAGACTAGACTATAGACTGACTATAGACTAGACTATAGACTAGACTATAGACTAGACTATAGACTAGACTATAGACTAGACTATAGACTAGACTATAGACTAGACTATAGACTAGACTATCGACTAGACTATAGACTAGACTATAGACTAGACTATAGACTAGACTATAGACTAGACTATAGACTAGACTATAGACTAGACTATAGACTAGACTATAGACTAGACTATAGACTAGACTATAGACTAGACTATAGACTAGACTATAGACTAGACTATAGACTAGACTATAGACTAGACTATAGACTAGACTATAGACTAGACCTATAGACTAGACTATAGACTAGACTATAGACTAGCTATAGACTAGACTATAGACTAGACTATAGACTAGACTATAGACTAGACTATAGACTAGACTATAGACTAGACTATAGACTAGACTATAGACTAGACTATAGACTAGACTATAGACTAGACTATAGACTAGACTATAGACTAGACTATAGACTAGACTATAGACTAGACTATAGACTAGACTATAGACTAGACTATAGACTAGACTATAGACTAGACTATAGACTAGACTATAGACTAGACTATAGACTAGACTATAGACTAGACTATAGACTAGACTATAGACTAGACTATAGACTAGACTATAGACTAGACTATAGACTAGACTATAGACTAGACTATAGACTAGACTATAGACTAGACTATAGACTAGACTATAGACTAGACTATAGACTAGACTATAGACTAGACTATAGACTAGACTATAGACTAGACTATAGACTAGACTATAGACTAGACTATAGACTAGACTATAGACTAGACTATAGACTAGACTATAGACTAGACTATAGACTAGACTATAGACTAGACTATAGACTAGACTATAGACTAGACTATAGACTAGACTATAGACTAGACTATAGACTAGACTATAGACTAGACTATAGACTAGACTATAGACTAGACTATAGACTAGACTATAGACTAGACTATAGACTAGACTATAGACTAGACTATAGACTAGACTATAGACTAGACTATAGACTAGACTATAGACTAGACTATAGACTAGACTATAGACTAGACTATAGACTAGACTATAGACTAGACTATAGACTAGACTAGACTAGACTATAGACTAGACTATAGACTAGACTATAGACTAGACTATAGACTAGACTATAGACTAGACTATAGACTAGACTATAGACTAGACTATAGACTAGACTATAGACTAGACTATAGACTAGACTATAGACTAGACTATAGACTAGACTATAGACTAGACTATAGACTAGACTATAGACTAGACTATAGACTAGACTATAGACTAGACTATAGACTAGACTATAGACTAGACTATAGACTAGACTATAGACTAGACTATAGACTAGACTATAGACTAGACTATAGACTAGACTATAGACTAGACTACGACTAGACTATAGGACTAGACTATAGACTAGACTATAGACTAGACTAATAGCTAGACTATAGAGACTAGACTATAGACTAGACTATAGACTAGACTATAGACTAGACTATAGACTAGACTATAGACTAGGCTATAGACTAGACTATAGACTAGACTATAGACTAGACTATAGAGGTAACGATAGACGATAAACTAGACTATAGAAGAGTATGTAGACTTGACTATAGTATAGACTTTAGACAAGAGCAAAGGCTAGACTGTAGACTAGACAAAAGGCTAGACTTTAGACTAGACCATAGGCTAGATGTTACACTTTACATTAGACTGTGATTTTTTTAACCTATAAAGTCTATAGTCTAGTCTTTAGTTTAGACTATAGTCTAGACTATAGTTTAGTCTGAGGTCTATATAGTCTATAGTCTAATCTATAGCATATTCTATAGTCTTGTCTATAATCTAGTCTATACAATAGTCTATGGACTTTCCTATGGACTTTCCTACAGACTAGGCTATTGTCTAGGGTATATTCTAATTTATGGTCTAATCGATTTTCTACACCATATTCTTGTCAATGGTCCAGTCCAGACTAGACTATGGATTAATCTCTGAACGAGACTATAAGTAGTAATATAAACTATAATATAGACTAGGCTAGACTGTTGACTAGACTATAGCCTATAATCGCGTCGTTTGTGATAACAAAACATTTTTTTTTTAAAAAATTGGAATATTAGTTAAATTTCTTTGAATCTTTTTTATCTATTATTAGTGATGTGCAATAAATTTTAAAAATCAAAAGTTTTCCTATTAAAAAAGACTGGCTAACACTATCTGCCCAATCCATGAATATACTTTAGAGGTAAGTTCAATGATTCTTTAACACATAATGAGAATTTATTTAAATTATTTAGGAAGAAAACTAATTAATGGAAATTTTAAATATTCAGGCATAAAATTTATGCATTTTTTCGAAACTAATATTTTTTGCAAATATTTACCCCCTTAAATAATTAATGATTTACTTTTATGTATTAACGAGCCTAACAAACATTAATTAGGCAAATTACTTAAAAATTTCAAAGCAAACATTATTTAATTGATATTACTTTAAGCTTAATAAATAAAAAATAGTGCCTTGTACTTCCGACAGCTAATAGACCTCCCTTTTCATCTTCAAAAGAAAAAGAAAACAAGACAAGACACGCATCATAATCATAAAATATCTGCCGTAAATACCTCCGAAGAAATCATTAATAATTTTATAATCGATTAATTTGTTAACATTAATCCAAAAAGGCGGTACGTCGGTGACTATACGCATCTCTATTCATTCATTTCTTCATTCATTCATTTATTCAGTCAGTGTCTTAATCATTTACTCACACAGATCTTAACTAATTATAGAAACCCAACAACTCTGAGGGATTGTAGTCAACCGGAACTTTTACTCAACATCTGCGATTACTTACAATCCCAGTTTTAAAGTGATCACACTATAAACCTCTTAGCTGCTCTAAATGAGGCAATTGACTCCTTGCTAGATTACATGTAATGCACAAAGTAATCAATTGGCTTTTAATTCTTGACAAATATTACTATAGAACATTTATAGTTCCTTAACTATTACATGCTTTATTAAAAGAGTCCTCATTACCACCCCACAAACTGTAGGGTACCTTTATAATTATTGTTATTGTTTCTGTATGTCTAAGTAAAATGTCTAAATTACCATCTTACGTACTCAATCACCGCACAACTTGTGTACTTACTTCACTTTTATTATTGACCGCTACAAGTATTTAAGATTTAAGTATAAGACCTCTTTAAAGTCGTGAAGAAGCCTTGAGGCCTTAAAGAATAAATTAATGTTCTTTTTGTTTTGGTTTATTAATGTGTATATTGAATGTTAATATTATACAACTACTACTAGATACAAAAATAGATATGAATCAGTGGAGATTTCTATTAGAGAGGCACACTTTTTGAAATGAGTTAATCAGAATCACGCAAGAGATTTTAAAGACTAAAGTCTCGTTCAAAAAAATCGCTTACACACTAGACTATAGACTACACTATTGATAATACTACTACCGACAAAAGGATAGAGTAGACGGAAGGATCGACCAGAGTGTAGGATAGTTGACTATAGATTAGACTATGGACTAGACTATAGACTAGACTATAGACTAGACTATAGACTAGACTATAGACTAGACTAGACTATAGACTAGACTATAGACTAGACTATAGACTAGACTATAGACTAGACTATAGACTAGACTATAGACTGGACTATAGACTAGACTATAGACTAGACTATAGACTAGACTATAGACTAGACTATAGACTAGACTAGACTAGACTAGACTATAGACTAGACTATAGACTGGACTATAGACTGGACTATAGACTAGACTATAGACTGGACTATAGACTAGACTATAGACTAGACTATAGACTAGACTAGACTAGACTATAGACTAGAATAGACTAGACTAGACTAGACTAGATTAGATTAGATTAGATTAGATTAGATTAGATTAGATTAGATTAGATTAGATTAGATTAGATTAGATTAGATTAGATTAGATTAGATTAGATTAGATTAGATTAGATTAGATTAGATTAGATTAGATTAGATTAGATTAGATTAGATTAGATTAGATTAGACTAGACTAAACTTGACTAGACTAGACTAGATTAGACTTGACTAGACTGGACTAGACTATAGACTAGACTAGACTATAGACTAGACTAGACTATAGACTAGACTAGACTATAGACTAGACTATAGACTAGACTATAGACTAGACTATAGACTAGACTATAGACTAGACTATAGACTAGACTATAGACTAGACTATAGACTAGACTATAGACTAGACTATAGACTAGACTATAGACTAGACATAGACTAGACTATAGACTAGACTATAGACTAGACTATAGACTAGACTATAGACTAGACTATAGACTAGACTATAGACTAGACTATAGACTAGACTATAGACTAGACTATAGACTAGACTATAGACTAGACTATAGACTAGACTATAGACTAGACTATAGACTAGACTATAGACTAGACTATAGACTAGACTATAGACTAGACTATAGACTAGACTATAGACTAGACTATAGACTAGACTATAGACTAGACTATAGACTAGACTATAGACTAGACTATAGACTAGGACTAGACTATAGACTAGACTATAGACTAGACTATAGACTAGACTATAGACTAGACTATAGACTAGACTATAGACTAGACTATAGACTAGACTATAGACTAGACTATAGACTAGACTATAGACTAGACTATAGACTAGACTATAGACTAGACTATAGACTAGACTATAGACTAGACTATAGACTAGACTATAGACTAGACTATAGACTAGACTATAGACTAGACTATAGACTAGACTATAGACTAGACTATAGACTAGACTATAGACTAGACTATAGACTAGACTATAGACTAGACTATAGACTAGACTATAGACTAGACTATAGACTAGACTATAGACTAGACTATAGACTAGACTATAGACTAGACTATAGACTAGACTATAGACTAGACTAGACTAGACTATAGACCAGACTATAGACTAGACTATAGACTAGACTATAGACTAGACTATAGACTAGACTATAGACTAGACTATAGACTAGACTATAGACTAGACTATAGACTAGACTATAGACTAGACTATAGACTAGACTATAGACTAGACTATAGACTAGACTATAGACTAGACTAAGACTAGACTATAGACTAGACTATAGACTAGACTATAGACTAGACTATAGACTAGACTATAGACTAGACTATAGACTAGACTATAGACTAGACTATAGACTAGACTATAGACTAGACTATAGACTAGACTATAGACTAGACTATAGACTAGACTATAGACTAGACTATAGACTAGACTATAGACTAGACTATAGACTAGACTATAGACTAGACTATAGACTAGACTATAGACTAGACTATAGACTAGACTATAGACTAGACTATAGACTAGACTATAGACTAGACTATAGACTAGACTATAGACTAGACTATAGACTAGACTATAGACTAGACTATAGACTAGACTATAGACTAGACTATAGACTAGACTATAGACTAGTCTATAGACTAGACTATAGACTAGACTATAGACTAGACTATAGACTAGACTATAGACTAGACTATAGACTAGACTATAGACTAGACTATAGACTAGACTATAGACTAGACTATAGACTAGACTATAGGCTAGACTATAGACTATATCATCTATAGACTATATCATCTATATCATCTAAAATACATTATAGATCAGTAATTTATACATTTAAAGATCTCCCAAAAAAATATAAACAAAAACTTAATCTTTGAGATGGATATTTCAAGAAGATTTATGTTTAATGACCCCTAACCATGCAAGATATTGATAATAAAATTTTAAAATGTAATGTGATACTCATAAAGGTAGATGTGAACATTATTTGCCAAAAAGATTAACTACCTTAAATGAGAAAAAAAAAAAAATATAGTGAAATATGTTATGTGATTTTTGTTAAAGATTTAATTTCGTATAAAAACTGTAAATTAATAAAAATAGTTCAATTTAAAAACTCTTAAAATTTTCCCCCAACAAAATATACAAATTAAACATAGTTCATTTGGCAAATAAAATATTTTGGAATATTTTTGCAAAGCTTCCCGCTGTGTTAATATTATTTGCTTTCAATACTTTATTAATAGAAAAACATAATTAAATTTAATTTAAAAAGATTTTTATAGACAAAACCCAAAAAACCTATAAGATGTAAATAAATAAATATAAACTAAAAATCAAGATTTTCAAACCACAAAAAATACTCAGAAATCTTTTAAATACGTTAAACAATTCTTGTGTGCAATCTTTAAAATGAATCAATTTTGAAAAAAGAAAAAACTACTTTTTCACTCAAATACATATGACTCAGTGTTAAGTCAAAACAAAAAGATAAAAAACTTTGCTTGTTTTAATAAAATTTTAAAAGACTTAAATGATTATGTTCATTTTAATGTACGAGTTTGTTTGCTTTCAAAATAAATTTAATACGTTTTTGTGTTTATTTTGCATTCTTTTTTTTTTGCAAAATATCATTTACACGAAGCGAGGTGTTATTTAAATAACATAAACAAGACGAGTAGAGAATATGCAATTGATGTGGGAAGAATGCCACAAGGGGTGATTGGAAAATAGTTTATATAGATAGACTAGACTATAGACTAGACTATACTATAGACTATAGACTAGACTATACTATAGACTATAGACTAGACTATACTATAGACTATAGACTAGACTAGACTATAGACTAGACTAGACTAGACTAGACTAGACTAGACTAGACTAGACTAGACTAGACTATAGACTAGACTATAGACTAGACTATAGACTAGACTATAGACTAGACTATAGACTAGACTAGACTAGACTATAGACTAGACTATAGACTAGACTATAGACTAGACTATAGACTAGACTATAGACTAGACTATAGACTAGACTATAGACTAGACTATAGACTAGACTATAGACTAGACTATAGACTAGACTATAGACTAGACTATAGACTAGACTATAGACTAGACTATAGACTAGACTATAGACTAGACTATAGACTAGACTATAGACTAGACTATAGACTAGACTATAGACTAGACTATAGACTAGACTAGACTAGACTATAGACTAGACTATAGACTAGACTACTAGAGACTAGACTATAGACTAGACTATAGACTAGACTATAGACTAGACTATAGACTAGACTATAGACTAGACTATAGACTAGACTATAGACTAG